TGACCCACCCCTTTCAGCTGTTCTTCTGTTCTTCCTCTCACCCATGCCCCCAGTTTTGTTTGTCATCATCCTGTAATTTGGTGTTCGTTGGGATAACCCTTCAGAGGCTAATGCTTCTTCTTAGATTTTATGCCTCTTTTCTTCTATGTTTCCACCGGGTGGATGGTGGTGCCGTGACTCTGAAAGGGCCTTTGTGGTTTAAAGAACCAAGATTCCCCTGGTTGTGGTTAAGGAGACAGGGGAGACTGTTGTGTGGTGGACAGAGCACTGGAGTTGAGTCAGGAGAGCCAAATTCAGTTTTCAGCTCTGACATTTACTAGCTATATGACCTCGGGCCCTTTCACCCCAATTAAATGGGGATAATACTTACACTACCTGCCTATTTCACAGTGGTCCTTATGAAGCTTAAGATACTTTGTAAATATGAATTATTATTTGCCACTCAGTTTTGCCTTTTAAAATAAAAAGCGAATTCTAGATCAGAATAGCTAGGGGTAAATATCGTTTATGTCAGTGCTAATTAAAATGAAGTAGGATGCCACCATTTACCGACATAAATCTTGTTCTTGATATATGCATGGTCTTTGCCCATAGGCACAAGCTCCTAGGTACAATCTGAGACTTCTTGCTCCTCTTAATTGTTATCAATCACTGCTTAATCTAATCCTGGTTCTTTTCCTGACTTGAGTAGAAAAAACTCACTGGGAATCTCTTTTGGAGTCAGATGCCTTCTTGGAAAGGCAACAAAAGTCTTCAGGCTGCTTTCTTCAGCAGTCTCTTACTTACCATAATTAAAGGGCTCATGTTTCCATTCCCTTTGGCTCCTACTATCCCCTACTGAATTTGGCTCAGGTTTCACTTGGAGTTAAAGGCCTCTCCCCATGCAACTTCCTCTACAGCTGTGGGTTGTCTTAGAATAGAATCCTAGTTGGAACAAACTTCAGAGACCATTTAGCACAGCTCCCTTATTTTACACAGGAGGAAAGAGAAGTGAAGGGACTTCCCCAATTCAATTCAATTCAGTTAACATCTATTAAACACCTACTATGTGCCAGGCACTGTGCTAAGCACTAAGCAAAGTCACGCATTGAATCAGTGTCAGCTGGAACTAGAATCCGGGGCTCCTAACTTCCAGGTCAGCACTTTCCCCCCTCCACCGTGCTGCTGCCTTCATCTGTCCTAAATTCAGAGTCTCTCCTGAGCCATCCCTTCCATCCACAGGTCAAAGCCAGAAGGGGCTCCAGAACCAGAGGGGATGACAGCCCCACCGATGAAGAACAGCTTCAATAACCCAGCCTACTATGTCCTGGAAGGGGTCCCACATCAGCTGTTGCCCCTGGACTCCCCGGCCCCCACACCTTCTGCCAAGGTTCCCACTCCTTCGGCTACAAAGAACAAGGTGGCCATCACAGTGCCTCCCCTGCAGCCAGGCCGACGACGGCCCCCTCGAGCGGGAGAGGGGAGCTCATCAGATGAAGAGGGTGGCACCTTGCCCCCACCTGACTTCCCTCCACCACCACTGCCTGACTCAGCTAGCCTGGATCTGCCAGTGGTGGGCCCTGGGGGCCGGGGCCGGGGAGGGGTTGAGATTCGGGGGCCACTGAATCCTAAGACCCACCCGAGGCCCCCACTGCCTCCAAGCTCCTCACCAGCCAGTGCCTTCCTTGGGGAGGTGAGCAGTGGGGATGACCGATCCTGCTCCGTGCTACAGATGGCCAAGACACTGAGTGAGGCTGATTATGCTGCTGGACCGGCCAGAGGGGGCCTGATTGGGGGCCCCTTAGACCTGCCTCCCCGGGTTCTTCCCCCAGACTATGGCCGTCCCCTTGGCTTTCCCCCACCCCGAATCCGAGAGAGCATCCAGGAAGACCTGGCTGAGGAGGTTTGTGTATGTATAATTATGGGGCTGGGGCAGGGGGGAAGGGTGTATGTATGTGCATCTGTGTCTGTGTTGGCTTTGGGGGTTCCTGGCTAGCCATATTATTTGTGGCATACGTCTCTGCTACCCAACTAGCATCACCTTTTGGGTCTTCTTTATTTTGGAAAACCTATGACTCCCTGCTGCCTACAAGATAAATTTCTAGCATTCAATGCCTTCCACAGGCTGGCTCCAGTCTTATTTCCCATTATTCTGTTAAATGGAATACCACTTTCCACCCAGGTTGGACTCCCTGATTTTATCCTGTTATATCCTACTTCTGTGCATTGTCCAGGCCATCCTCCGTAACTGAAATGCCCTCTCCTCTGATCTGGGCCCATTGAAGTTTCTCTTATGTTAAGGATCAGCTCAGGTGCCACTTCCTCCTTGAAGCTTTTACTGATACCTCTTGCCAGGAGGTTCTACTTCCTCTACTTCCCCCAATCTTTCATCTCTGTTGACTTTTCAGATTCCCTTGAATTATAGTTATTTATGAACATATTCTACTTTCCCCCACAGTCTACTAAATTCCTTGGGCAAGGGCTGTCTTTTTTTCATTTTTTTGTTTTCCCAAAATAACCACTGCACATAGTAGGTGCTTAATAAATGTTTGCTTGGATTGAGTTGTTGACCAGGAGCATCTCTTGTCTCTGATATTGCTTCTGTCCCTATCTGTCTCATTCCACCCCCTTCCCCTCCTCCCACCACTTCTGTGTATCTCTGTCTAAATGGGGAGGAAGGGGGCAGGAGGGAGATGTGGGCGGGCCAGGGCCCTGAGAGTGCTTGGTGTGTGCCTATAGGCTCCATGCCCACAGGGTGGGCGGGCGGGCAGCCTCGGCGAGGGGAGCATGGGTGCCTGGCTTCGGGCCCTCGGCATGGAGTGCTATGAGGAGGGGCTGGTACACAACGGATGGGATGACCTGGAGTTCCTCAGGTGAGCTGGAGGGAGGGGCCCACAGCTGGGAGTTGGAGGGGTCAGGGTTGTGGTTGCGTGGGCAACAAAAGTCTTGAGGCCAGGGAGGAGCCTATAGTAGCAGGGAGGGGTTGGTGGGGCAGCTCATTGAGGCAGCCCAATGACTGAGTCCTGATCTCTGCAGTGACATCACCGAGGAGGACTTGGAGGAGGCCGGAGTCCAGGACCCAGCTCATAAACGACTCTTGCTGGACTCACTGCAGCATAGCAAGTGACCTTCCAGGATTGATTGTGCCCGGCCTCGAAGTGCTCTGGCTAGGAGGGCACTCGTCCAGACCCAGTGTGTCTTCTCTTAACCCACCCCCCCAAGTTTGGAGGGACTGTCCCTCCAAATCCCTGTCATGAAGGAACTTGCCCATTCTGCCCTACCCAGTGCTGAGGATGGCTGCCATAGTTACTAGGGGAGACTCCAGCCTCAGGGGAGGAATTCCCCACGCCACTCTTCTCCTTACCCAGTGGAGCACTTCTTGCTCCATCCTTGTTGGCCAATCAATGTCCCTCTGCTCCCATATTGGTTCACTCCCTTCCCCATTAGGGTTTGAGGTTGGTTGTCTAATTTAAGAGGCCCTTCGGCTTACTCCAGGAATGGCCTTGGTCCAAGATTTTGTCCCCCCAAATCCCCACCTCTCACTGGGGCTGCTGGAGGGGAACTGACTTCTGCTCAAGCCCTCACGTCTCCAGCGGAGAAAGGGCGCCAGTACCAGGGGGTCCTTGTTACATTTCATACTTTTCCCCTTCTCATCTCGGGGACCCCCTGAGCCACAGGGAGCACTCAGTCAGGTCCCCACCCAGACTGGCATCCCATCCGGAAATGAAGGAGCTGTCCCCTTCCTCCCTTTTGGCCGGGCTGGGGTCCCCACTGCCATGGGGGGAAGGGTAGGGAGGGTTCTGTGTTAATTTAATCGTCTGGGTGGTGGGGGGAGGGAGGGAGGGAGGGAGGGGTGTGTGTGGACACTTTAATGTTATTTTATGAGGGAGTGGAGTTAGGGCATGTTTTGAGTCCCAGTCCTAACTGCCTCAGCAATAAAAGACCCGTTTGCTTATCTATTGGAGCCCACTCACTTCATCTGTGATGCCCACCAAAAGCAGGCACATGGGGAGCCTCAGGTTCCCCTCCTGCAAAATGAGAGCATGGTTTCTAAAGTTCCAGCAAGCTCTAAAATTCTTTGTTCTAGGCCTAGAAGTCTGAATGGGGGAGGGGGACACTGAAGTGGGAGCAAAGAGTGAGGGAGGAGGGTCCCGAAGTACAGGCAGCTTAAGAACTCAGAAAAAGGGGAGGACCGAAGGCTTCCATAGGAGCTGTCTTAGGCGGGTGGAGGAGGGGTGAACCAGACCTCAGCTCCCAACTGTGTCTTCTCACAACCTCTACCCTTTAATGACCAGGGCTTGTCCAGCTTCTGCTCCAGAGAACCCACCGCCTTCCTAGACTGCACCTCTGGGGCAGCTCCAAGTTTGGGGGTTTTCCCCTTGTGGCGTAAATTTGCCTTTTCCCATCCTGATCCCTCCTCCACTAGACAGTCCTTTGCACACTTGAAGACAGCTATCACACGTTCCCTTCATCAGGCCAAGTAGCCACAGTTTCATCCTTATGTGTTTTGGCCTCCAGATTCTTTCCCCATCCTGGCTACCTTCTGATCAACTAACTAGTTTGTCCTAAATTGGGGGGCTCCCAGAATCACACACAGTGTTCCATCTGTAGTCTGATTATCGGCAGACCTGGGGAGTGCTGCCTCCCTGCTTGCATCCTTGGTTCCAATTGGCTTGTTTTTCTGGCATGTCTGACATGAACTGTGGGAGGAACTCTAGCCCACCTAGTCTGAATCTGACCCTACGACAAAGCCAGCATGGGGCTATCATCCCTTTCTGATAAAGCCCTTCAGGCTAAGGGATTGGGCCTATGACAAGACTGTTTTTAACAGCCTGGAGAAGCCAATGATCTGCCCAAAGAGACCAGCTTTAATAAAGCACCAGCTGATTGGTGTGGGGAGGGGGCTTCTGGTGCTCCCCCACAGGTGGTACAGGCAGCCTGCTAGTTCCCCTGCGGGTAGGGCTCAAAGCTTACCCTGGCCCCAAGTCTCCCTTCCCAGCTCTCTTAGGAGCTACCTGAAATGGCTTCAATAAATTAATTTTATTTGGATTGAGCAGAATTTGATCTCAATAAATTACAGATGAGTTTTAGAAAGGAAAACAAAAGTTGGAAGAAAAAAAAAAGAGGAAATAATTATGCCCTTGCCTGGCCTTTAGGGATCCTGGTCTGGAGCAATAGTCACCCCTCCTTCCTACCCTTTGCCCGACCCATGCATGAATGGCCCTGGGAAGTGAGAGCAAAGAGTCCAGGCAACTCTGCTCCTCACTAGCTGTGTGACTGTGGGTGACTCCCTCTCTCCAAGCCTCAGTTTCCTCCTCTGTAAAATGAGCAGGGTTGTACCACATGGTCTTTAAAGGCCCTCTCAGCCCTAGGTCCAGTTGTCTAAGAGGGTCAGGGCCCACTATAGGCAGCAGCCCCTTCCCCAGCTGGGTGGTCTTGGCCCTCATGGTAGATGAACCACAGAATCCATCTTGCCAGCTCCAGAGCCCAGGAAAGGGACTAGCTGTGGTCGATGGCCCCCTCCCACAGTGCCTCCTCACACGTAATACCTTGGAGGATCTTCTTTTCCCAACTGCATGAGTAGCTGGGCTGCTTTAAGGAATTTCCCCAGGGACTTGTGGAGAGGATGGAGAAGGGGAATCAGAAGAGGGGACACTGAACATTGAGGATGGAGTCCCCAGAAATGGAGCAGTCTCCTATTTCTCCAGGGGAGGGCATGTCCAGGCATAGTGGATCCTTGGGATGGGGAGTCAAAGGAAAGTGTATGTCACTCTGGCTGTCATTGATAACTGGGGTGCTGATGTGGTCATCCAGAGAGAAACATCTTTGGCTGTGATAGTGTCCAGAATGTGGAAGGGAGCGCTTTGGAGAGGGTGGCCTTCAGCCATGGAGCATTTCTGCTTGGGATGTAGTCTTGGGAGAGTGGGGAGGAAGGGGCATTTCTGGGGATTGGCACATTGAGAGAAGGGTCGTCTCTGGCTATGGCAAGATCATCCTTACAAGGTGGGTCGGGGAGAAGTGGGTGTCTCAGTGAGACAGGATTCTCAGAGAAAAGGGGACATCTGTCAGGGCAGGGTAAGGGGAGTGGGCTATCTCTCACTTCAAGAGAAGTTCAGGAAGGAAATGCCTGGGGTAGGTAGAGATGGGGTCTCTGGCAGTGACAGGGTTCAGAAGGGAGGAAAGGAACATCTTAGTGGAGTGAAGGGCAATGTCTCTGGCCATGGCAGGATCCCCAGAAGGGAAGGCAGTGACTACCTGCCCCTGTCTGAGAGGGAGAGGAAGCAGGAGCATCTCAGCTGTGCAGCTTCCAGGAGATTAGGGCAGGGGGTGAGGGGCACAGTTAGAAGAGGTTGGCTTTGAGGGCAGCCGTGGCTGAGGCTGAGGTTGGGGCTTTCCGGTGGAAGGAAGAGAGGACGCCAGAGAAGGGACCAGGCCCTGGCTCTGCAGGTTGCCAGGCCTTGAGCAGCTCAGCAGGGCTAGGTGCCCCAGGCCCACCTCCTCCTCCCCCTGGCCCACCAGCCCACAGGGGCCCTTTGAGAGGGGCAGGGGCTGGGGCTTGGGGCAGGCCAGGGCTGGGGCTGAGGCTGAGGCTGAGGCTAGGGCTTGGGCTGGCTAGGCCACCAGGCCCAGGCAGGGAAGCTGTGCTGTCTGGTGTTGGGCTGCAGTTGGACTCCTTGGACTCATCATCCTCAGAGGAGGATCGGGTCTCCCCCTTCTTGGTGCCTGGAGGACCTGCCCCTCCCCCAGCACCCTTGGCACTGGCTGCCCGCTCCTGCTTCCGAAACTTAGCCCTGCGATTCTGGAACCAGACCTGGAGAGGAGAGAGGACATGAATGGATAAAGAAGAATTTCCATCTGGCCTGTTGGGGCTGCTAGGCAAGGGTCTGAAGGTCCTCTTGCACTGGAGAGATTGTGGGGCAGGGGTGAGGAGGAGTCTGATTCTGCTGAATCAAAGCCAGGAAGATGCATGGGATGAACCTTTTGGAGTATCCTATCTCTCTGTCTATCTGTCTTGTCTCCCATTTACTCCTGTCTCCTCTTCCATCTTGTCCCCTGACAAGGCTAGACTGGGTGCTATAGTGAATGGGAAGGGGAAGGCAGTAAGCATTTATAAAGTACCTACTATGTGACTACTGTAAGTGCTTTACAAATAATACCTCATTTGTAAATACAAGTATTTAGTGGCTAGGGAAAGCATTTAGCCAGTCAGGGTGGAGCTGGGTTTCAGCCAATCTCCCCCTCTGTCCCTAAATGTGGGGAAACTAAAGAAGAAACTGAGGCACGAGGGGGCTTTTCCATGCTGCTTTTTCCATGTCTCCTACCCTAATCCCTAGGGCTACCTCATTTCCCCCATCCCCTTCACCTGCTCTGTCCCTCTCTTCATCTCCTTGTTCTAGTCCTTCTCAGCCCTTAGCTCTTCCTCTCTTCCTTCACGCTGGAAGTATCAGTAAACATGGAATTTGGGAATACATACACACATACATATATGTATATATGTAAAATATATTCTCCCTCTTTCTGCCTGTTTTCTATTTCTTCCTATTTCTCTCTGCCTTACCATCTGTTTCTCTCTCCCATTGAGACTCCTTAATCATTTTTCTCTATTTCTTTTCCCATCCTCTCTCTCCATTTTCTCCTCCCTCCACTTCCCCCATCCTTTCTCTATTTCTACTACCCATTCTACTATCCTCATCCCTCTACATCTCTTTCCCTCCATCTTTCTCTTCCATTTCTCCAGTCTCTTTTTCACACTTTCTTATCTGGGCTTCTTTGCCCTGCTCCCTTTCCCCCATCTCTCCTTTCTTCTCTTGCCTCCTGTGTCTCTCTTTCTCTCTGCCTCCCTTCTTGCTCTGTCCCTCTTCTCTTCTCATTCTCTGCCAGTTTTCCTAGCTATTTCTCCCTTGTCTCTATCCTCCTCTGTCTCTTCCCCCCCAGACTACTCACTTTGACCTTCCTCACTCTCCTTCTTTTGTCCCTTTCCCACCCCCTTGGTGGAGCCCTTTAGCTTAGTGTACCCCTTCCCCCAGGCACAGTTCAGGCACAGAGAAGTGTCTCTTGGCTTCAGGATGCTGGAGCCTGACTAACCTGTCTTCAGGTTAAGGGGCAGAGGCCTGAGTAACGCTTAAGGTACTGTCCTAGCTTGAGAGGGGTAGGGAGGGAGTGGGTACTGATGGGGAGCCGCTCATCTTAGGAGGGTGCTGTAAGTCCTGGGGACCCTCCCAGTCTCCTTCTGGTCCTTGCCCCTCCACCCAGCCCCTGCTCCCTAAGCACCATCCACCCCCCAAATTTGGTTAGTCTCACGCACCTGCACTCTAGCCTCAGTCAGGTCGATCTTGAGGGCTAGCTCCTCCCGTGTATAGATATCCGGGTAGTGGGTCTCTGCAAACACTCGCTCCAGTTCCTTGAGCTGGGAGCTTGTAAAGGTCGTGCGGATCCGACGCTGCTTGCGTTTCTCGCTTAGCCCAGAGGGGTCCGAGAAAAACTTGTATGGCACTGGAGGGGAGACACAGGGAAGGAGAGACACAGACAGATGAGAGATACTGAGAGAGGAGAGACACGGAGAGAAGGAGATATGGAGGGACAGGAGAGACTCACATTGGGAGAGATACGGGGTTAAGGAGAGGCTCAGAGACAGGGAACATAAGAGAAAAACAGGGAGAGAGGAAAGACATAGTTGAGACCAAGGAAAAAGACAGGGGAGAGATGAGGAGAGAGGAAGGAAATAAATATATAGAGAAAGGAAAAGCATAAAGAGATAGAGACAGGGGATATGAGAAGAGATAGGGAGAGAAGAGAGAAGGAGAGAAGATTCAGAGGAGAGGAAGGAAAAGATGTGAGTCACGGTGAAAGAGAAGAGGAGAATGGGAATGAGAGACAGAGACATGAGTTAGAACCTGGTGAGATTAGGCAGAGGGCAGATGTGAGGTGAGACACACGATAAGATTGAGGAGAGATATGGAGGAAAGAAAGGGAGAGATACAAAGGGAATCAGAGAGAGGAGAGACAGAAAAAAAGACATGAGGAAAGGGGAAGAAATGAGATATGGAGAGAATGACAAGAGAAGAAGGGAGAAATAGAAAAATGAGAGAAAGAAACAGGGACAGAATAAAGGCATGGGGAAAGGTAAGAGACAAAGTGGTGGGGTGAGAAGAGAGACACAAAAAGATGGGGACAGGAAAGGATGGAAAGAAACATTTATAGAGAGAAAAGACATGGAGAGATGGGGCAGAAGAGAGATGAGGTGAGACAGTGATGAGGAAAGGAGAGATGGAGAGATAAAGGGAGAGACACAGAAAAACAGAAGAGAGATGGGGAAGGAAAAAAATGTGGGGTATAGGGAGGAAGGAAGAGATAGAGAGAGATGGAGAAATACAGAGAAAAGATGGGGAGAAATATGTCAGAGGCTAGTTATAAAAATACACAAGGCACAGGGAACTAGGAAAAGCAGAGAGACAGAGATGAGAACAAGAGAGATGAAGTGAGACACAGATAAGGCATGAGACAAGATGAGGAAAGGCATCCAGTAATAGAAAGAGAGGAGAGATAGATGGGAGAGACAAGAGGAGACTGAGAAAAGAGACATTTATGAGGACAGAAAAACAGAAGGGTGGGAAGAGGAGAAACACAGGCATGGAGATGAGAAAAAGGCACAGAAAGACATGCGGGAGAGAGGAGAGATAGAGAGATGGAGAGATGAGACATGAGGAAATGTAGATGAAAAAGAAAGAGACCCAGAGATATAAGAAGAGAGACACAGATGAGAGAGAAGAGAGATACATGGAGAGATGACAAGTGAGGAGGAGGAGGATATGGAGACAGAAAAATGTGGAGATAAAATGACAGAAGAGAAAAAGAGACAAATTTAAGAGAGAAATTTGGAGATTGGAGAGAGACATAGAGAAATAGAAGAAGACACAGAGATGGAACTGAGGAGACAAACACAGAGAAGAGGGGAAAGGGGAAATAGGCAGATGAAGAGAAGAGATCAGGAGAAAGAAAACTGAGGAGAGAGAGATATGTATAGATGGGGCCAGACATGAAGTGATGTGGAGACAGAGACAAGGTTATTTGAGTCCAGAGAAGAGAGATGAGGAGATGGAGATTGAGGCAAGAGATAAGGAGATAGATATGAAGAGAGAAAGAGAGAAGTACACGGAAGAGAGAGAAATGGGCAGATGGGACCAGAGAAGAGAAGAGGAGAGATGTGAGGAAACAAAGAGACTCAGAAAGGTGGAGACAGAGAAGAGACAAGGGGATTAGTGATGAGGAAAGAAAATAGACATGGAGAGAGAAGAGAGAGAGAATAAAGGATAGAGGAAAGGAAAGAAGGTGACAGGAGACACAGAAAGAAGGAAAATGATTGAGAGGAAAAAGTTGCAAAGAGACGCATACAGGAGAGAGGGAGAGAAAAAAGCAGAGAGCAAAAATACATGGAGATAATGAAAGAGAAGAAATATGGGGAGATGAAGAAACAATGAAGAGAGACAAGAGAAATGGGAGCGAGACATCGAAAATGAGATGGGAAGAAAAGAAACAGAGAGGGAGACAAATGAGGAGGAAAGAAAAATGGAAAGATGAGGAGAGGAACAGATGATGGAAAGGGAAATTGGGCAAAAGAAAAGTCGCAAAGAGATATGGAGAGATGAGTTCAAAGGGAGTGATATGGAGAAATGAAGGAGGAGGGGAAAAATTAGGAACAGAAAAGAGGATAGGAATGAGAAACATTTAGAGATAAGGAAAAGCAAAAATCTGGGGTGGGGAAAGGTATGGGGAGAAGGTGAGGTGGGGGATCGGGGAGATGGGACAGGCTAAATTCCTGGCTCTTCATCTCCCCAGTTCTCTCCTGTATGCACTTCTCCCTGTCTCTCTTCTCAACTTTCTCTTCTTTTCTCTTTTCTCCCTACCTTGGATTTCTCTTTTCTCCCCATCGTTCCCCCCCCCTTTCTCTCCATGTTTCATCTTTTCATCTCTCATTCAATTTCTTTTCTGCCTTTCCCTGGTCATAGGTATAGGACCTGGGGTGTGTGTGTGTGTGTGTGTGTGTGTGTGTGTGTGTGTGTGTGTGTGTGTGTGTGTGTGTGTAACCACAGCAATGGCAGGAGCTGCTCCCATCAGAACTAGGGTGCAGGGTGCAGGTTAGGATCCTTTCTCTACCTTTCTCCCTTCTCACAGTTCCTCCATTGCAGGACCTTTTCCCATTCCCTTCCCTCAACATGCCAGCTGGGATCTTTCCCTCAGATCTGGCCTGCTCTGGCTTGGACTGTCTTCACCTCGACTGCTGTTGCAGCCCTTTCTATCCACCCTTCCTTCCCTTTAGGTCTGACCCTGGCTGCTTCCCCAGCAGCTTGCGCTGCCCTGCTCCCTTCCAGATCACTTTGCAGCCTCATCCCACCATGGACTCTCTTGGGCTGATTCCAGTAGCAACAAGAGCCTGGAACTTTGTGGCAGGAGATGGGTTCTAGCTTTTGTTTCTAACTTACTGTGCGACTTTGGGAAATCCCTTCCCTTTTCTAGACCTTAGTTTCTACCCCCTGAAAAAAAAATGAAGGGATTAAATTTAACGTTCTCTGACATTTTGTTTCTGGGATGAGATCTGTTCTTTTACATGTCTCTCAACTGCCCTTTCCCAGCTACTCCCTCTTGTCCCCTCCCCTCTCCTTTTTCCCAAGAAGGTTTTTTTTTCCTATCTCGCCCCCAAATACCCTGGCATCCCCTCAATTCTTCTGCCACTGTACCTGTTTCAATGTTAGCCTGCTCTCCTGTCCTATGGTCCCTGTCCTAAATCCCTCTCCCTATCACCTCTGGTCCTTGTCCCCATGACTCCATTTTCCTTTGCTTCCATTCTCTCCTGATTCTCATTCTTTCACCTGTTTCCTCTGGTCCCCACCGTCTAGTCCCCTATTTTCCCATCCCTTTGACTCCATCTCTCCATTCCTGTTGTCTTCTCTGTCCTCCGTCTCTCACTTTCTGGTCTCCCTCCTTCCATCTATCTTTTCCTTCTTGCTCCTACCCCACCCCCCAGAGCCCTCACTCCACCCAATTCTAGTCTCTGTAGCTTTCTCCATCTACAATACTACAGCTAGCCCTCTTTTCCTTCTCAACCCTTTCATACCTAATCTTCCCCTCTCCAGGCCTCAGGTTTCCTCTCAATCTCTTTAATCATATCTCCAGCACCCCTCTCACTCCAATGCATCTACCATCTTTCAGTCTTTCCATCCATCCCTGTACCAATAAGCCAATCTCCTACCTCCATCCTATTCTTCCCGAGTCTCAGGGATTAAACTCTGGTATCCAGTCCAGCCCTGACAAGTCTGTTCCCCATAACCGCATCATTTCTTCTATTCTAGTACCACCTCCAGATCTCCTCTCTCTAGTTCCTATTTCTCCCTCCTCACTTTCATGGTCCCCACATCTCTTCCTGTATACCCCAAGCCCTCTATCTCCATTTCCCCTCTCTTGTCCCCAGGTCTTCATATCCTCATGATCTCTTTCCAGTCCTCATCTGTGTGCCCATCTCTCTCCTGGTACCCACATTTTCTCCCTCAGCAACATCTTGATCTTCTTTCCCTAATTCCCATATCCTTATTTGTCCCTAGCTGCCTCTGGATTCTTATATTCCTTCCCAGTGCCCTACATTTCACTCTTCCTGGTCCCCATACCACTCCTTTCCCTAATCCTCCCTCTCCTAATATTCCTATCACCTCTGAACATCCCCTAATTTCCTGGTCCCCAAGTTTCCCTGTCCCCACATCCTCACCTTCCCTTCTGATGCCCTTATCTCCCCAAATCTTTCCCTGTATGTTGATCTGGTATCAAAGCCTCCTGAATAGTAAGTGATTCATATGTTCTGTCTCCCATCCATATCTCTCATTTGTCCTCATCCTTATCTTCTCATGCATTCTAGCCATCTGGTCTGGTACCCACATCTTCTCCCATGTCCCCCATCCTCATCTACCCTTTCTGGTCTTCATCTCCCCATCTCTTCATCCTGGCTTCACATTGTTACATCCTCATCTCTGGTCAGTTTGGTCTGGTTTCCACGTCTTGGGGGGGGCGTACCCTCCTTATCTTTCCTCTCTCCTCCACTCCAAACATCTACATCCCTTCTCCCTGATATCCAGATTTGTACCTCTCCCTGGTTACCATGTCTCCATTTTCTGTTCCCACCTCTATGTCTCCATCTCCTCTGGTCGTTCCCAGGTTTGTTTACCTCTATTTTTGTCCTATTCTCATGTCCTTTCGCTGACCACTGGTCTCTTGGTATCTGAGATCCCTCTCTGGTCCTTATGTCTCCATCTGTGCACTTCAGGCCTCTCCTGACCCCATCCCCACTCCCTGGTCCCCGTCTCTGTCCCCAGTGTCCTCCTAGACTACTCTGAAGGTCTTGGCTAAGCCGGGGCAGGGTCGCTAGCTGCGGCAATGTTCCCTTTCCTTAGATCGTTCCCATCCCGGCCCCAGGACAGCTGCTCACCTGTGGAGTAGGGTGCGGGCTGGTGATCCCGCAAGGCGCCCAGGCCGCAGGGGGGTGAGGCAAGGCCAGGGCAGGCGGGCCCTGCTGCGGCTGCTGCGCTGAAGGCAGGCCGCCCCAAGGGGCTGTACTGGAAGGCGCCCGCCTGGCCGCAGGGGCTGAAGTCGCCGTAGGCGGACTCCATGGCGGCCACACAGGAGTCGTATGAGTTGAGGTAGGAGTAATCCATGGGCGCGCGGCGCGGGCAGGAGGGCTGCCTGGAGGAGGGGGATATCTCAGGAGAGATAGAAGGGAAGCCGGGCAAAGGGACTTGTGGAGAGAGGAACAACGGCCGGCGGGCAGAGGGACAGAGGGAGGAGTCGGAGAACTGGGCTGCCCAGTCTCGTCCCGTCCCGTCTAGCCCAGTCCCACCCGCCTAGTCTTGGCCCCACTGTCCCGCCAGAGCGCAGCGGCCGCACCTTATAACGGGATGGACGGGGCGGGGGCAGGGGCGGGACGGAGGCAGGGGGAGGGACCGGGAGCCGCCCCCAGACCCCCGCCTTCCAGTCCCCCTCCCGGGTCGGGGGCGGGGCCGCCTCTCTTCCCTTCCCCTGCTGCCTCCTGTCCTACTGCGGGGTCTGTTTGTGTATGTACCTCCAGGGAGATCTCAAGGCCCCCAGCCTTTCTCCCTTTCCCTTCTTCAGTCTCCGCCTCGGTACCCACTGCCGTCGGGGCCACTTGGTAGCCGGAGCCTTCCTCGCATTCTCAGTGAGAAAGTACCAGATTAGCGCCCGGTTGGGTGGAGAGGACCAGGAAGAACCGGGGCGGGGGGGTGGGGTGGGGTGAGAAGGTGTGTGCCTGGAGGGGGCGTCGTGGCTTGAGACAGACGACAATCCCCTCTTCCAGCCTCTTTTCTCCGGATTATCTTCCCCTCCCCCGCCCCCCACGTACAGCAGCGGGAAGAAGAAAGGCCGTGGGGAGGTGAAGAGAGGGTTTCTAGAGAAGGGTGGGTGGGGGCTACCCTCTTTAAGTATTTGGGGATGAGGAAGGAAAGCTTGGGAGAGGGGAGGCGTGTGTTGTGTGTGTGTGTGTGTGTGTGTGTGTGTGTGTGTGTGTGTGTGTAGAGTAAGGGGTATAGAGTGGGGGAGATGAAGAGGGGGGCCCTCTGGGCCGCTCAGTCCGGGTTGTGAAGAAGTTAATTCGATTCCAGGCCCTGATAACCGAGTTACTGCATCTGCTGCCCCGCCCCCAACCTCCTCCCCCACCAAGTCCTGGCCTGAGCCAGGGATGAGTGACAGAGACAAAGGGGGAGTGACCCAGAGACAAGAGACAAAGGGATGCCAGAGACAGAGAGACAGAGCAGGAGAGAGAGAGAGAGAGAGAGAGAGAGAGAGAGAGAGAGAGAGAGAGAGAGAGAATGACACAGAAACATAGAGACAGAAGAGAAGCACATTAAGTGATACAGACACAGAGATAATTGACAGAGATCAAGAGAGACAAAGAAAGAGACAGATAGACTGGGACAGAGATGAGAGACTTGACAGTCAGAGAAATGCATGGAAACACTGAGTGAGTCTAAGGTAGAATTAGAAAGAGACAAAGCTGGAAGACAGACCTAAAGAGACCCACGAAGAATGCTAAGGGCAGAGACCAAGATGAGAATCCCGAGACACTGAGAAGCCCAGACGGAAGCAGAGACACCAAGACCCAGAAACAAAAATATGTGTATAGACGGAGATAGAGATCAGAGCAAGTTGAAGAAAGACAGACCTACACAGGAAGAACAGGAGACATGGATCTCTGTAAGAGCTGCTCTCTGGAGAGAACAGCAAAGAGAGTCCAGACAGGTGGTTCAGAGAGAAATAATGGAAAATGAAGCAAGATAAGAGGTTTTGAGGATGGGAGGTCTCTCTCTGTCACACAAAGGGCTACCTGAGGAGAGACCCCTAATCTCTAATTCTGACTCCTGCTCAGCTCCTTCCATGTGTGCCTTCCCAGGAACCCCAGAGCCCCAGGAGTATCCTTGATGAGTCCTTCCCCAACCCCAATACAGGGGATCCCCCTTATAAGCAAACCACATATCGAAACATCTGCCTTCACCCACCAGATATATCACAGAATGACAAGTGCTTAGAAAGAGAAAAAACCCTGGGATATAGAACACAGCCTGTTAGAGCCGGAATGCACCTTAGAGACCAAAGAATTTAATCCCTATCGAGTCTTTTTAAAAACGGAAAACTGAGGTTTAGAGCGGAACAAAGACTTGCCTGGGGACACAAGTGAAATGAACTGTTTGAAGGACCTGGGGGAGGGGGGTGGGGCAGGATACCACTGACTCAAGTATTGGAAGAGCTGTTGGTGTGAAAGAGGGATTAGGTTTGTTCAACCTGGAGCGGAGGGTGGAACCTGGAGTAAAGGTTTACCTCGATTTAAGGGGAAAATTTCCTAACTATCAGAGCTGTTCAAAAGAGGGAAGGGGCTGCCTCTGCAGACAGCAGGTCTTCAAGTAGAATCTAGGCAAGACCAAGGAGATGTTGGACAAGTTTAGAGTTAATGATTTCTGAGAGACTTTAAAATCTGGAGATTCTGGGGGGAGGGCAACTGGGCCCACCATGTCATTGGTAGATGAGGGCTCTACTTTCTCTGCAACTTCGAGTAGCTTAGAGCATTGAAAAGTTAAGTGACTGGCCCAAGCTCACACCCAGCCAGCTTGAGTCAGAAGCAGCACTTGACCCAGGTCCCCTTGGCTTCAAGGTCAGTTCTCTATCCAATACAACGTGATTCTAATGGCAAGGGTTCTTAACCTGGAGTCTAGGCTAAGAATAAATTTCTAGGGGTCCCTGAACTTGGATGGAAGAAGTTAAATATCTCTTTTCACTAATCTAAAACTAAAATTTAGCATTTCCTTCAATTATGAATTAAAAAAAAATTCTAAGAAAGGGTCTATAGATTTCACCAAACTGACAAAGAGGTTCATGACATGCGGAAAAAAGGTTAAGAAACCTTGGCATCCTTCAAATTCCAGCCCCAAATATCCCACCTTCTACAGGAAGCTCTGTCTCTAAATCCCCCTTGATGCTAAAGTTTTCCCTCTGTCAATTATTTCCGTGTGTGTGTGTGTGTGTGTGTGTGTGTGTGTGTGTGTGTGTTCTATCCATGGTTGTTTGTATGTTTTCTCCCCCATTAATTGTAAGTTCTTTGAGGGCAGGGACACTGTTTTGCCTTTCTTTACAGTACCTGGCAATAGGGTAGGTGCTTGATAAAAGTTTATTGACTGTTCCATGAGATTCTATGATTTGGTCAAAATCCATCCCGTAGTTCCCCTCTCCCTCCCCATCGCAGGCCCTAACCAGGCCAAGTCCCAGTCTACAGAACTTCACAGCTCACAGAAGGGCATTATGGTATCATAGTGCTGGATTTTTTTGAGGCAGGAAGAGTCAGGTTCAAATTCCATCCGTATCTGATACTAGCTGTGCGACACTAGGCAAGTTTCTTCCTCTATAAAATGTCAGTGGTAGTATCTGCAGTATCTACTTTGTTGCAAGGGTTAAGTGTGATAATGGACATAAAGTACCACTTGAGTGTCAGTTATTATCATTACAACGAGGATCTCCTCACAATAAATCTTGTGAGAAAGTCAAGGAGGGGATTATTATCCCCATTTTATAGAGAAAGAAACTGAGGCTCAGAGAAGGGAAATGGCTGGCCCCAAGTTACAAATGGAGTCAGTGGCAGAGGCAACACTAGAAATTGTTTAGCATCAATTAGTCTCCATCACCACCAGGTTACTGTCCTAATTCTCTCTTCCTTTCCCAAGCAAATTCCTAGGAAAAGCAGTCTCCTCTCACTTGCTTCTTAGCTGGCTTCCAATCCCATCACTCAATGGAAACTACTCTTTCCAAAATTCCCATTGATCTCAGTGGCCAGATCCGATGGCCTTTCTTCATCCTGTTTAACCCTCATCCTCCTTGGTATCTCTGCAGCACTTAGTGCCTATGACCATACTTTCTTCTTGTCTATTCTCTCCTCTGGATTTTTAGGACCCTGCTTTCTTGGTTCTCCTTCTATCTCTCTGATCATCATTCATGTTCCGCCCCCTAACTGTGGGTGCACCTCAGGACTCTGGCATGAGTCCTCTTCTCTTTTCTTTCTCCACATTCTCATTTGGTAACTTCATTAGCCCCTGTGGTTCAATTATCATCACCACGCTGATAACTCCCCAAACCATTGTCATCCTCAACTCCTCAGTCGTCCTCACCCCACATATCCAATTAGTTACCAGGTCTCACCAATTCTATCTCTATAAAGGCTCTCGCATCTCTCCCATTCTCTCTAATCACATGGCCACTAGCCTAGTCTAAGCTCTCATTGCTTCTCATCTGGGCTATTGCAATAGTCTCTTAACTGGTCCCTCCTGCCTCTGGTCTCCTCCTTCTTCAATACATCTTCCAGGTAGCTGCCAAAGTGGTGTTCCTTTGTCTGACCATGTCGCCTCCCACTCAATAAACTCCAATGGCTTCTTGTCACCCATTGGATCAAATATAGACTCCGTCTTTGGGGGCATTTAAATCCCTTCACAACCTGTCTGCAACCTGCTTTTTGAGATTTATTATGTATTACTCATAAGATCATTGATCCAGAGTTAAAAGGAACCTTAGAGATGTTTCTATAGAGGTCATCTAGTCCAGGGCTTCTTAAACTTTTTTCCCTCGAGACCCCTTTTTGAATTTTGGCAGCTTTTGGGGGCAATGTGTAGCGTGACGGCAGGCGCAGTGCAAAGTGCGCATGCTTTTGCATTTAGAACCAAGGCTGCAGTGAAGTTGTGCTATGCAACACGGGCGCTGCCAGGAATACCTCAAATTCATTACGTGTTTGATTTTGAATTAATTTTTAGTTGTTGCATGTTCAGAAACTTTCAACCCACAGTTTAAGAAGCACTGATCTAGTCCAGCCCCCTTATTTTACGGATGAGGAAACTGAGATCCAGAGAAACCAAATGACTTGCTCAGAGTCAGATAGCTAGTCAGTGGCAGATGTGGAATCTGAGGCTAGGAGCCCTGACTCCAAATCCTGCCTTATTTTCACTGTACTATAATCCCTTGCAATCACTCTGTGGTCCACCCAAACTGACCTTGGTGTTCCTCACCGCACAACTCTGCTCCTTTTTCAAGGCTGTCTCTTATGCTTGGAAGGCACCCCCTCCTTACGCCTGGGTCTGGGAATTCCTCCTCGGGATTCATGCTCAGGTGCCACCTCCTACAAGAAGCCTTTCCAGATTGACCAGATTCTGGTTCGTCTCCCCCCCACCCCACCCCATTATCTTGCATTTATTTAATATGTGTGTATATTATACATATATATAAATCTATAAATGCATATCTGTTCATATGTATGCTGGCAGGCAGTGAACTTTAATTTTTACCTTTTAATTTCCAACACCT